CACAACTCTTCACAACATTGGAAACTGAAGGGAATAGGCTAATGTTAGAATGTCCCGGAAGGGTTTAAAGCAGGAGTCTCCAAACATGGCAACTTTTAAGACTTGGGGACTTCAACTCCCAGAATTCCACAGCCAGCCATGCTGGCTGGGGAATTCTGGGAGTTGGAAGTCCACGAGTCGCCATGATTGAACTATCCTGTCTTAGACAACACCCATCTCCTGATTCTGATCTCCTCAAGGATGATCAACGACCATCTTCAGTCAAAAAGCCAAATATGACCCACAGCATCGTCCCATTTTATGATATAGATTATTTGGAGATTGTTTTTTTAGAAGACAAAAACTTAGGGAATTAAATTCTGGCATCTCTTCCCGGTGACCAAATAAAAACCATTGGCTTCAAAATGGCTCCACGATTCCCTCAGGATATCTCTGTGATTCACTCTCTCCTTTTGTTTTTGTGGAAACCGAACGGGGCATTAAACCTATTAAATAGAGGATTTTAGACTAGACTAGAATAAAAGTTGGAAAGGATCTTGGAGGTCATCTAGTCCAGCCCCCCGCTTAGGCAGGAAACCCTATACAATTTCAGACAAATGGCTGTCCAGTCTCTTCTTAAAAATCTCCAGGGATACCCACAACTTCTGGAGGCAGGTAGTTCCACTGATTAATTGTTCTGACTGTCAGGAAGTTTCTCCTTAGTTCTAGGTTGCTTCTCTCCTTGATTAGTTTCTATCCGTTGCTTCTTGTCCTGCCTTCAGGCGCTTTGGAGAATAGCTTGACTCCCTCTTCTCTGTGACAAAAAATGAATTTTATCGTTCACCTATCCTGGGTCTAGATCAGGGGTAGTCAACCTTGGCTCTTTTATGACTCGTGGACTTCAATTCCCAGAATTCCTGAGCCAGCTTAGCTGGCTCAGGAATTCTGGGAGTTGAAGTCCATGAGTCATAAAAGAGCCAAGGTTGACTACCCCTGGTCTAGATTGAAATGATTAAAGATGATTCTTGTAATTTTATAAAGATGCCTTGTCAATGAAAACTGGTCCAAAAATCAGCATGATTTGGAATCTAACGCTCCTTCCTACTCACTGGCTTTACGTCGGGGGGGGGGGGGATTTAACCTGAAAGTACAGCTTTATTTTTGCATGATGTGTTCATTCCTATATTTATGATTTTTTTTTGGGGGGGGGGGGAGAACCTATTTTTTAACTGCTAAGTCTCAAGGATTTGTAATAATTGTGCTAATTGTTTTTAGATGTTCCCCGGAAATAAAACACAACTGGCCACTTATCTTAATCCAGTCCTCAAATATACTACTATTTTGAAATTCTGAAGTTGAAAGGGCTGCAGGATTTTAACTTCAACGCATCGATGATAGGAAACGAGGCAACATATTTTACATGTATAAATTATTAAGTTTTGAAGGAAGCAATGGCAGAACCATCCTTTACCGATATGTAAATGAAGTCACCGACGGCGTCTATCATTGTCAGGAGAACAAATTACAAGTGTACCTATGAGCATATATATGCACAGTGAGGTATCAGACACAATTCATCCATTAAATGTCGACAAAAGAAACAAATTGGCTTGAGAGGACCTTTGCCTGGTGATCAAATCCCCAAGAAAACAATTATCACCTATAACGCAACATCTCAGGTTCAAAATCACTCAAGAGATTCCCGCTCTGCTTCTGAAGAGTTAATCCTTTGGTTGCAAGGAAAGAGAAATTAAAACTAAAATTAAATTAAAAGATGAGTTAAAATGAGAACCCAGTGAATTAAGAGAAGGAGAGAATTTTACATTGAGACTCATAATGGCTACTTCAGCGGGTCTCACTCATGTGTGCTAGTGTCATTTTCTCCAAAAGGGATTTGATAAACTAAAATGGTATCGCTTGAAAGTCTACAATCTGTAGTCAACAATCTGTGTTGGCTTGCATCAAGACAGGACACTCAATGTAGATTTACTTGAACTGTTCCTTGCATCCTCACCTATCTATTTCTCAAAACACTTGGCAGAAGTTGGTCTTCCTTACATTGCTTAAAGAGCCACGTCTACAATTGCTCCAGCATACTACAGGTATTGCCTGTCCTCTTGTTTTAATTATCATCACTATTGTTTAGTTAACGTCAACTTTCTTTGGTGCAATCCCAATCAATCCATCCATCTCACTAAAAAAATGACGTTCTTCTGAGTCACCTATTTTGGTAGCATCCCAAACACCTATGCAATGAAATACTAGTGAAGAAGTGGATGCTGGAGTTTGTCTCTGCTCCGAATTTACCGGGATTATGGCAACGAAAACCGAGATGTTGACATTGCTAGGGTTGATGAAACGTGTCCTTGAAAGACGATGAGCATTTTTGCCAAATCACAGCACGGATGGAACAGATACATCAAGAGGGTATGGAGCATGTGGACAATGAAAGATGTGGTCTGCATTTTATCACTTCAAATTTGACCCATTTATGGCTTGTGGGGTCTTCAAACTTGGTCCTTCGATGACTTGTGGACTTCAACTCCCAGAATTCCTCAGCCAGGCACACGTGCCTGACTGAGGAATTCTGGGAGTTGAAGTCCACAAGTCATCGAAGGACCAAGTTTGAAGACCCCTGTTTTAATGGGATGAGATCTGTTTTCATTTTTGATCCGATTCTGTTCCCTTTGAGCTTTGCATTCTTGAGGAATCCTGTCTGATCAAAAATAGGATACTTCTGGTCTCAAGGAGGCCTTGCTAATGGTTGCAAAGATAGATTTCTGCTTCAGAAACAGTGAAATGATCTTAGGAATAGGGTAACGCTTATCTACTGAATTTTAAGGAGGAGAATTTTCGGTTCTAAATATTCCTCAGATGTTATCATCCCCATACTGAATCCAAACTCAAGCAACTGCCTTCACTTATTTCAATTTTTGTTTTTGTTTTTGGCTAAAATTTCTTCTTCACTCTGAGGTAATTGCATACATCACGCCCTGCTTTTTTCCCCAATAAGATGAAATTAATGGGGGAACGGAAAGGAAGTTATCAACAACTGCCCTTATCTTCCTTTTTGTTTTGTTTTTCTCTTTTCTTGGATGAAAAGATGCTATAAAATAAGCAGAACAGCGAAAGGGATGAATGATATGTATTCGATCTGGTCAATTGGAAATGACAACTTTAAAAAAAGAAAAGTTGGCCAATCCATGCAGATGTGATTTCTCCCTTCGTCTTCATAATTACAATTATATACAGGAAAAAACAACAACGGCCCCACCCCAAATATTTTTCAATTTATTAAGGCAACCACATCTTGGGAGGAAAAACCTCCAGAGTGGCATTAATTCAAACGCTATCTTTTGAACATCTAGATTTTTTTTAACATTATTATTATTATTATTATTATTATTATTAGATAAGAACACTTGGTCATTTTAAAATTTTCATTTTAGAAGTTCTCTGCTGAGAAATTTACACGGTTTTCATCTGTTAGATTTTTTTTTCCGGTGAAATTATGACTTCAAAATGGCTTTTCCTATTTTTTTCCTTCTTGTTCTTCACTGTATTGGAAAACAAAACGAAACAAAACGAAACAAAAACAACCAGCATTGGGCACAAATTGCAGAAATGTTTCTCATCATTAGCACAAATTTGTTTTGAGCAGCCTCTATTTTTCTGGCTTGGATCCTTTTAAGGTTTGTTGAAAATAGCATCACTGTATATTCCTTTTTTGTTGTTGTTTTTCCCCGATAGCTTATAAGGGCATTCATGGGTGAATCAACAGAACCAAGCTGAGGGTCACCCCCTCCCCATTGCCATCTTCAATTCAGGCACTGATTTTAGGCATATTTAGACATAACTGTGACCGCCATCTTGATTTTTGTTTTCTTTTGTTTTTTGAAGACACCTGGATAGGTGTCTCCATTTTCTCCTAATTGACTTAACAAATTGAAAATTTGCTGGAAAATTCCTCTTCCTATCAGCCAGTCGACTTTCGGAGTGCTTAAGTTGGGACAGTAAAAAATAAAATAAAAATGAATTTAGTTTTCAAATGAAGCAACAAGCCCTGGCAGCCATTTTGTAAATGCACAATCCACTGGGCAACAACTGGTTGAGAGAGAGAGAGAACACCACAAGCTCTTTGATGACTAAAAGGATCCCTTCTCCTATCCTGTGTGACTCTGGATTTTCTGCCTACACAACTCGTTGGGGAACCAATTTCCTTTCCACCGGGCCATCTATGGAAGAGAGAAAATCAATACTCTTCAAAATTAGCGGCAAAGATCGCGCAAGACTGGGTTAGGGTTAGAACAAGGGTCTTCAAACTTGGCCACTGTAAGACTTGCGGACTTCAACTCCCAGAATTCCTCAGCCAGCCCTGGCTGGCTGAGGAATTCTGGGAGTTGAAGTCCACAAGTCTTACAGTGGCCAAGTTTGAAGACCCCTGGGTTAGAAGCTTGGTGACCGTCAACCTGGGCAAATGTTCTTTTCATGTTCCCAGACCCAACATGAAACCTTGTTAAAAAGGAAACAGGCATTTGAGGAACTTGCATTATTATTATTATCAGTTTTGAAAAAAAGGGGATGTAATTTTCAGATGTAACCCGGCGTCTCGGTTGCTGGGTAGAACTTTTGTGATTTAAGAGCTGTGAGGTGGAGAAGACATTCCCCGCCCCCATTCCCCACCTTTCCCTGTCCAGAAATGCTGCTGGTGATTTCAACGACCTACCAAAAAAAAGGGGGCAAGAACATCATTTGAGAAAAAGGTGTTGACCACACTGGTAAGGGAGGACACCATGTTCTCCTACCGTCGGGGGGACTTCTGGAGACACAAGAACAAGGGTGACTCGTCTGAACCACAAGAACATTAAAAAAAAAAAGCAAAACTCAGTTAAGTTTGAAGAACCTCTTCCGTACCTTCTCCCCTGTTATTAACCAAGGGGTTCCCATCACAGTTGAGTTCTTATTGTAATAATGACAAGGATGATGATGATGATGATGATGATGATGACGACAAGGAGTGATCCAATTTCATCTGGATTCTTCAGGATTGCTGTGCTACTGACAGACAGAGCAAGTCTGTAGAGGCTGTAGAATTGTCCACTCGGGCCTACTGGTGGGACGTCCCCCCCCTCTGTCTTTCTTCGACCACCTTGGATACTAGGGAAGGTGTTCGTTCTCGCTTCCTCTGTTTTTCCGATGCCTTTTCCCCTTCACTTCGTCTTCCTCGTCCTCCGGATGCGGCTGTGACTTGCTTTTCCGCTTTCCGACTCTTGGCGTCCGAGGCGGAGGGACCGGGAGGAGGGGAGACTGGGACGTTTCCCGGGCCATGTGCACCACCGCCTCAATGGTGGCTGCCACCGGATCTTGACCGCTGGCCTGTTCCAGGACCACAGAGTTCAAGAGAAGCCGCTGACCTCGTTTGCAAGGCAGGTCAACGCATTTCTCCAGCACAGGCATTTGGTCTCTGGAGTCGTCGTCAAACGAAGGGGGCTGCTTCCGAGGACGGCCTCGCCGCTTCTTGACAAAATTATTCCCTGTCTTGGATTGTCTCTGCAACCGTTTGGCTTTCAGGATTTTGTTGACATGGTCCAAGTTCTTCTTTGTGGAGAGGACCTTGGTGTAGCTGCACATCTTACGCACCTCGCACTGGATTGCTTCGATTTCGCACCGCTTGAATCTCTTCTTGAGGGTCGAGCTGGCTGGAGAAGACAAAAGAGAAGAGAGATTAACCCCTGGTCAAGAGTCAAGCAAGGTGGGGAACGTTGGTTACCCAACATGTCGTCCTGCAAAATACCTGATGAACGATGATTAATGCGGGCCAAAGTCAACATTTACGAAAGCTGAAAATCCACGAGGAAAGTACCAAAGGTGCTTTTTTCGACGAGGCAACTGGACTTTCTTGTTTTTCTTTGAAGATGTTTCGCTTCTCATCCAAGAAGCTTCTTCAGCTCCGACTGGGTGGTGGGGAGTCCAGGTGTCTCGTGAAAAAAGCACCTGTGGGCACTGGTGGGATTCAAATACCTGAACAACCGGTTCTCTTATTGGATGCAGGCCTGGGCTGCTGAGGCCTAGAACGGACTTCCAAAAGTGGCATCCATGCACTTTTGGCGGGCTGTTGTGGGAGACTTCCTCCCGGCCTCCGAGGCCTAGAACAGACTTCTGGAAGTGGCATCCATGCACTTTTTTGGCAGGCCGTTCTAGGAGGCCTCCTCCTGGCCTCCGAGGCCTAGAACGGACTTCCGGAAGTGGCATCCATGCACTTCCGGTAGGCCATTCTAGGCCTGGGAGGCCTCCTCCAGGCCTCCGAGGCGTAAACTGGACTTCCAGAAGCAGCGTGCATTCAGGTGGTTCTCCGAACTCAGCAAAATTTAGCTGCCGGTTCTACCGAACCGGTGCGAACCGGCTTGAATCCCACCACTGTCTGTGGGACAACCATGACCTGGATGACTGAGAATCTCCACAAACATTCATGAGTAAAGGTTGAAAAAAATTGGGAAATGGCCTAGGAAAATGGAACATTTTGGAATTATTGGGAAGATACATCTAAAAATTATAGTCATTGATACTGGTCCATTTGTCGTTAATTCTACCGTAGGATGCTGAGACAATGAACGGATACGGAGGGAGAATCTTGCAGAGAAATTCTGTTTTTATTGTCTAACATTCTGGAGTTGAGGTTCTTTAGAAGGAATTGGTTTTGGCAACCCAGATGCTTTTTGCCCTTCCTAAGAAAAACTGATTCATATCAGCGAGTCTTAAAACTAATTTATTTATATCAGAGCCACTTAAATTATTTATAGCCTGCTACCCTCAACAAGATTTCAAGTCAGTACAGAATCCATGAAACATGCAAAGTCAGGAAGTAACATCAATCCCACTTTGGCCAGAAAAAGAGACTAATAATAATTTAAAGACAAATACTAAAGGGAACCAGTTTGGTGTAGTGGTTAAGGCACCAGGCTGGACGGAAAGAGAGCATGAGTTCGAGTCCCACCTTAGCCATGAAAGACAGCTGGGAGACTTTGGGCCAATCACCAGGAGACTGAGAGTTCTAGTCCACCTTAGCCATAAAAGCCAATTGTGATACTTTGGGCCAATCACCAGGAGAAGTGAGTTCTAGTCCCACCTTAGCCATGAATGCCAGCTGGGTGACTTTGGGCCAGTCACCAGGAGACTGAGAGTTCTAGTCCCACCTTAACCATGAAAGCCAACTGGGAGACTTTGGGCCAATCTCCAGGAGAAGTGAGTTCTCGTCCCACCTTAGCCATGAAAGACAGCTGGGTGACTTTGGGCCAGTCACCAGGAGACTGAGAGTCCTTTCAACTTACGGAGGATTAAAAGCTGGAGTAGTGTTTTGTAATGCAGGTTCTCCTCAAACTATGACTGCTCATGGAGCCTGCCCATTACAGCCACAAGTTGTGACGGCCGTTAAAATAAGGGCACCGTGTGATTGACTTGCTTAACAGCCCCAGTGAGGTGGTTAAGTGTCCACATTGGGTCGTTAAGTGGAGCACAGTGTACCTCAAGGTTGGGGGAGGCTCTGGGAAGTAGGCCTCAAGTAGACCTCCTCGCAGTCATTAAGCAAGCTGATCATGTGATTGCATCAGTTAATGACCCTCATCCCCGCCTAGTTGTTAACTGAAGGTTACTAATTGGGCAGAGGGTGTCTCATAGGTGGGGGGAAGCCCTGGGAAACCTCGTACTTATAGAGTCCTCAATCTATGACTGTAATGGAGGCTACCACCAAACAGGTCAATAATCCCACCTCCCAATGCAGTCGTTAAATGACTGTGCAGGTCATTAAACGGAGCACGACGTGTCTCGTGGGTGGCTGGGGGGCCCCTAGTACCCTGGCCCTAGTTGCAAACCTCCTACACAAAAAAGACAATTATGACTTAATAAATGTAAATGGTACAGGAAGTCCTCAAGTTACAACAATCCATTGAGTGACTGTTCCAAGTTACAACGGCGCTGAAAAAAGGGGACCGACGGCAGTTTTTCACACTTGAAACTGTGGCAGCCTCTCCACGGTCACGTGATCAAAACTCGGGACGCTTGGTGACTGGCCTGTACTTATGACGGTCGCAGCGTCCCCCCAGGGTCACGTGATCCTCTTTTGCGACCTTCTGACAAGCCACATCAACGGAGAGGGGGAGCCAGTTTCACTTAACAAACGGTGTTAGTCCCTTAACAGCTGCAGTGACTCACTTAACAAAGGTCGTAAAAGGGGGCAAAATGCCCCTAACACCTGTCTCGCTTAGCAACGTAAAATTTCGGGCTCCGTTGTGGTCAAAAGTCGAGGACTACCGGACTGGAACAGAGCATCTGAGGAAAAGGACTCCATCAAAGAGGCAAGAGAATTCAAAATGGAGGATGCTCTTGAGAACATCTGGATAAATAAGGGCAGAATGGAATTAAAAGCCATATGGCGGTTGTTGACGTCTTCTGAGCACTTAGATTCAAACAAATATGGATGAAACCTTTCAGAAAGTAATGGCAGATCTTAGAACCAAGTAGTTGCGATGGGAGAATTTAATCCCACAGTCGTGGAAAAAATTGTGGAAACCTTTTGGGAAAAGTGTGCAGTAGAAATGCCACCTTTGGTTAAGTTTCCACCCATTTTTCTTCTAATTTCTTTAGAACTGTAGCCTTGTTCACTTAATCATACTATTTTGCATCGCTTTCTGGGCAACCGGTCAACTCTTTGCACCATGACTTTAATTTTATTACATTTTACAAGCTCACTCAATGAAAGAACACAAAAAACCCCAACCAACTTGACAGCAATCACATAACACACTGACAAATGTCCTCCTCTCAGCTTAAATACGTGACAACAATAACTAGATCCTACTGTGATCTGATTGGCTCATTGGCAAAACAAGATGACACCCGATTGGCTCTCTAAACACGCATGCTCATTGGCTATAGTCAGATGAAGGAAAGCTACCTGAGATCAACCTAAGCAAGTTGTGCTTCCTTTTTCTGGTTATTTGGCTATAACTTTTCACAGAATACAGTACAGATAATTGAACAAACTTTGTTGCAGTACGTTCTTGATTAAATTATCTTTGAGTGGTTTATAATGCTGGTAAAGGTGGAAGGAAAGAGAAGAGGACCCACAACAAGATGGGTGGATTTACTGTAGTTATAGATGTTGAGTACATCATTAGAAGCCCTGAAGGACCAAGTTAGAAACAGATCATCATGGAGAAAATCCATATAGGTGGTCACTAAGAGTCAACGCCACTGAATGACCCATAATCAATTAGATGATTGGAATAGAGGTTTCACGCTCTTCATATGTGATTGCAACATCACAATGCACACAGGAAAGGGCAGAGGTTGTGTCGCGATACTGCAAGATTGCTTTAATGATTTGGCTCTCTAAACACTCATGCTCATTGGCTACAATCAGGTGAAGGAAAGCTACCTGAGATCAACCTAAGCAAGGTGTGCTTCCTTTTTCTGGTTATTTGGCTATAACTTTTCATAGAATACAGTACAGGTAATTGAACAAACCTTGTTGGCATTATGTTCTTGATTAAATTATCTTTCAATTGATATATAATTTTATGGTACTACTCCCCCAAAAAAGAGGTGTTATTAGCCATCCAACCTCAAAAATACACTTTTCCCAAAAGGTTTCCACAATTTTGGCCACTACTGATCTGTTCAGAACAAAGTCTGCAGCGCAGGCTGGCTTCTAGGAAAATCTGACATTTCTCCCTCTTACAAAAAACATGGAAAAAGACACCAGGAAGCTATCCTTAATTTGATTCTAATAGGGAGGATTTCACGGAATACGTTTGATGGAAAACAGCCACGTTCGACTGGGGATTTTAAGAAAGCTTGAATAGGTATCTTGGATTTAAGACAGATTTTTAATCAACCGATTATAGGTACGATTCTATGACGGAGAAACTCCAGGGAAGTCCTCATTTCGTGACCGTTTATAAAGTTACAACAGCACTGAAAAAAGTGACTTCCAGCTGTTTTATCCCCGCGGTCACGTGATCCAGATTTGGACGCTTGGCAACTGACTCGTCTTTGTGACAGTTTACCTGTTTCTGCTGCTGGTGGAGAAGGTAAGAGTGATAAGATAGGCGTTGAAGACACGGCAATGCCGTTGAGAGATGCTGGTTTCCGACGTGTCACTGCAGCCGAAGCAGAACATTCGTTCTTACTGTGGAGCAAAGCCTGGTCTGCTTTTAGGTGAGAACTGGTAATTCCTGGAAAATAGGTAAAAGGAAGATGATGATTAAGTGGGTAAGTGCTCTGTGCTCGACACATGCCAATCAATCTAAAACAGAGGTGGAGAACCATGGTCCCTTGATGACTTCTGGACTTCAACTCCCAGAATTCCTGAGCCAGCATGGGGGAACTATGGCCCCCTTCATGACTCGTGGACCAACTCCTAGAATTCCTGAGCCAGCATGGAGGAACCATGGCCCCCCTTGATGACTTCTGGACTTCAACTCCCAGAATTCCTGAGCCAGCATGGGGGAATCATGGCCCCCCTTGATGACTTCTGGACTTCAACTCCCAGAATTCCTGAGCCAGCATGAGGGAACTATGGTTCCTTTATGACTGGTGGACTTCAACTCCCAGAATGCCTGAGCCAACATGGGGGAACTATGGTCCCTTTATGGCTGGTGGACTTCAACTCCCAGAATTCCTGAGGCAGCATGAAGCAGAATGCCCCAGCCACTTGAAGACGTGTGGACTTCAACTCCCAGAATCCCCCAGCCAGCATGAAGCAGAATTCCCCAGCCACTTGAAGACTTGTGGACTTCAACTCCCAGAATTCCTGAGGCAGCATGAAGCAGAATGCCCCAGCCACTTGACGACGTGTGGACTTCAACTCCCAGAATTCCCCAGCCATCATGAAGCCTTGTTGACTTCAACTCCCAGAATCCCCCAGCCAGCATGAAGCAGAATGCCCCAGCCACTTGAAGACATGTGGACTTCAACTCCCAGAATCCCCCAGCCAGCATGAAGCAGAATGCCCCAGCCACTTGAAGACTTGTGGACTTCAACTCCCAGAATTCCCCAGCCAGCATGAAGCAGAATTCCTCAGCCATTTGAAGACTTGTGGACTTCAACTCCCAGAATCCCCCAGCCAGCATGAAGCAGAATTCCTCAGCCACTTGAAGACTTGTGGACTTTTAACTCCCAGAATTCCTCAGCCAGCATGGCTGGCTGAGGAATTCTGGGAATGGCTGGCTGAGGAATTCTGGGAGTTGAAGTCCACAAGTCATAAAGTTGCCAACATTGGAGACCCCTGTTCTACGAGCAGCACCCCACACCGCCCTCCACTTTAACACAGATGGCAAGCGCCTGTTGTGGACGGCCGAAGCAACGATGGCCCTATGCAATAAAGGCGGACATGTAAAAATGCCCAGTGAGACCCGGATACCGCATCTGATTGCACAAGATGGCGCTTTTTGTTAATCTTTGGTTTTCCGGTCTGCACCTGCCAGAAAAACAACTGGAATAATGATGACTAAGTGGGCAAATAACTTCAGATTCAGCCAAATATACAACAAAGCATCCGTGCTTGCAAGTGTGCTTCTAATAATGCTATTTCATGCTAATGAGAATTAGGATTTCTTTTAAAGGAAAACATTAGCTTTTACTCATTTTGCCTAAGGAAGGTAACATAAACATTGATTCACGGCCAACAACGATTGCCTCACGAGTCTTTATTTTTTAAAAGAAAAGGAGGAAAGACTATAATTGCTTCGCTGTTTGTTGGTGGCTTTCCGCGAGGGCTTGCATATTTTACCCAGTCAAAGGCAGGAATTCAGGGGGTCCTCGACTTATACGACCACAATGGGGCTCCCAAATTTCCGTTGCTAAGTGAGACCTTTGTTAAGCGAGTTTTGCCCCATTTTTACCACAGCTCTTTAATGAATCCCCGCCGTTGTTAAAATTAGTAACCCGGTTGTTAAGTGAATCTGGATTCCCCCATTGACTTTGCTGGTCGGCAGGTCGCAAAAGGGGACGTGACACTGTAACCGTCATAAATGTGAGTCAGTTGCCAAGCGGCTGAATTTTGATCACCTGATTATGGTGATGCTGCAAAAGTTGTAGCGGTGAAACATGGTCCTCATTTTTCAGTGCCGTTGTAACTTTGTAACCCTGAATGGTCACTAAAGGAACCGTTGTTAAGTCGAGGACTATCTGTATCGTTTTAGACCAAGATGAATGAATACTTGAGTGTAGCAAACAAGTTAACGCAACTTCTTAGTACAGGGATCTGCAACTTAACGATCCAGGAACTGGTGCTTATTTCAAGGGTTCTTTTCCCATCTTAAAGCTACGACTGATTTTTCAGTAAAAATAAAGTTAGAGGGTTTAAGAACAAAGAAAGAGATGACATTTCACTTGTCTGAAATGAGCAGGGGGCTGGACTAGAAGACCTCCAAGGTCCCTTCCAGCTCTATTCTATTCTATTCTGTTCTGCTCTACTCTATTCCTATTCTTAGTTCTGTTCTGTTCTATTCTATCATTATTCTACTCTACTCTACTCTACTCTATTCTATTCTACTCCTATTCTTAGTTCTGTTCTATCATTATTCTATTCTATTCTATTCTATTCTATTCTATCATTATTCTACTCTACTCTACTCTATTCTACTCTACTCTATTCTATTCTACTCCTATTCTTAGTTCTGTTCTGTTCTATCATTATTCTATTCTATTCTATTCTATTCTATTCTATCTTATCATTATTCTATTCTATCATTATTCTATTCTATTCTATTCTATCTAGTCTATTCTATTCTATCATTATTCTATTCTACTCTGCTCTGCTCTTCTCTACTCCTATTCTTAGTTCTGTTCTATTCTATTCTATTCTATTCTATTCTATTCTATTCTATTCTATTCTATCATTATTCTATTCTATTCTGTTCTGCTCTACTCTATTCCTATTCTTAGTTCTGTTCTATTCTATTCTATTCTATTCTATTCTATTCTATTCTATTCTATTCTTATAGATGACCGAGAATCTCCATAGACATTTAGCTGCCCATCAGGTGACACAAAATGTTAACGCCTTGGTTTTCTCCCATCTTACATTAAAAAGGCATCTGATTTACCTTCCTTGCCTACAGGAATGACAGCAATTCTGTTCCGAATGTTATTAGGACACTATTCCTCTTCTTCATTCTGTTTCTCCTTCTCTTTATATTTTTAAAATGTGCACCGTGCTAAAGAAACACGCAGCTGTACCAGATCCACTGAATAGTCTAATAGTTAAAGAAAGTCTAGCTGCCTTTTGAAGGGGGGGAAAAAAGCACATTTGGGACAACCACAACCTGGATGAGTGAAAATCTCCAGACAATTTAAGACTTATGGACTTCAATTCCCAGAATTCCCCAGCCAGACAGAATTCTGGGAGTTGAAGTCCACAAGTCTTTAAAAAGTTGCCACGGTTGGAGACACCTTCACTGATGCTCACTGCCCTTGTATTTAGCATCTGTTGATCATTAGACTGAACATTAGACTGAGTCCGCAAGGAGAAGGGCGGGATATAAATTTAATAAATAAATAAATAAATAAATAAACATCCGTTACATTTAAAAAAACAAAAAAAGAAACCTGTACCAAAAGTAAGAGCTGTAAACCTCTGATCCAGGTGGATTAAAAAAACAAACAAACTACAAATCCACCCATCCAAAGCCTACTTCTTCCTTCCTTGCAAGACATCCCTAACAAGTAGACTCGCTTGGTCGCTCAACAGCGAGACACTGGTGAAGTGGGCACAGCTGCGCCTGCATTTTCTGCGTCGCATGAGAAAAGCACATCTTCCTTCCCCTGTCCTGACCACTTTCTACAGAGGGACGATCGAGAGCATCCTGTCATACAGCATCACAGTCTGGTTTGGAAGCATCCCTGCTTCAGATAGGAAGGCGGTGCAGAGAGTGGTGAGGACGGCCGAAAAGATCATTGGCAGTTCCCTCCCTCCCATCCAGGACATAGCACAGAAGCGCTGCTTGAGCAGGGTCCGTAAGATTATCTGGGACACTACACACCCTCCTCACAACCTGTTTTCCTTGTTACCTTCTGGGACGGGGGGGGGGGGGCTTCGTGGTATCCGAAGCAGAACATCCAGGTTCAGTCAGTTTTGTTCCATACACTATCAACCTTGTGAACTTTCAAGCTTACTCCTTCCGTTATATATTCAAGATGGACAGTGATTAATATTTATATGTTACTTATATGTAAGGGTGTAGGTCTATACATATGTTGTATATAGTATATTTAAATGTGTGTATACTTTGAGAGCAAGCAACAAAATTTCATTTTTAATGTGTGCCATTGTGCCCACAGTAAAAAAATGATAATAAAGGTTATCTATCTATCTATCTATCTATCTATCTATCTATCTATCTATCTATCTATCTATCTATCTATCTATCTATCTATCTATCATCTCTCTCATCTATCTATCTATCTATCTATCTATCTATCTATCTATCTATCTCTCTTCTATCATTCTATCTATCTCTCTTCTATCATTCTATCTATCTATCTATCTATCTATCTATCTATCTATCTATCTATCTATCTATCTATCTATCTATCTATCTATCTATCTATCTATCTATCTAGTCTGTCTATCTATCGTATCTGTCTGTCTATTTCCATCATCTCTCCCTCTCCTATCTATCTATCTATCTATCTATCTATCTGTCTGTCTGTCTGTCTGTCTGTCTGTCTGTCTGTCTGTCTGTGTCTGTCTGTCTCCATCTCTTTCTGTCTGTTTATTTCCATCTCTTTCTGTCTGTCTGTCTATCTGTCTATCTATCTGTATCTGTCTGTCTATTTTCATCTCTATCATCTCTCTCTCTCATCTGTCTGTCTCTGTCTGTTTGTCTATCTATCGTATCTGTCTATTTCCATCATCTTTCCCTCTCCTATCTATCTATCTATCTATCTATCTATCTATCTATCTATCTATCTATCTATCTATCTATCTATCTATCTATCTCCATCTCTTTTTGTCTGTGTCTGTCTATTTTCATCTCTATCTTCTCTCTCTCTCATCTGTCTGTCTCTGTCTGTTTGTCTATCTATCGTATCTGTCTATTTCCATCATCTTTCCCTCTCCTATCTATCTATCTATCTATCTATCTATCTATCTATCTATCTATCTATCTATCTATCTATCTATCTATCTATCTATCTATCATCTATCTATCTATCTATCTATCTATCTATC